CAACTGGACATCCACACGTGTATCTAGACACTGACTTTATACTCGTCACAAAAATTAACTCACAAAAGATCATAGAACTAAATGTAAAAGGAAAAACTATAAAGCTCCCAGAGGATGACATAGGAACAACTCCAGATGATTTGGATTTGGTGATGACTGTGTACAGAACAAGCACGATCTGTAAAAGAAATAATGGACAAGCTGGACTTCATTAAAGTCAAACTTTTCTGCTCTGCAAAAGATGCCATCAAGAGGATAAGACAAGCCACAGCAGATAGTGAGAAAATATCTGCAAATGACACATCTGACCAAGGACTGTTACCCAAAATATACAAAGAATTCTTAAAAGTCATTAAGAAAATGAACAACCCAACTTAAAAAAAATGGGGAGAAGATCTGAACAGACTCCTCACCAAAGAAGATACACAGCTGGCGAATAAACACATGAAAAGATGTCCAACATCATACATCACTAGAGAACTGCAAATTAAAACAAAGAGAAACCACTGCACACCTATTAGAATGGCCAGAATCCAACACCATTTGCTGGTGAGGATGTGGAGCAACAGGGACCCTCATTCACTGCTGGTGGGGATGCAAAATGGCCCAGCCACTCTGGGAGACGGTTTGGTGGTGTCTTAGAAACTAAACATAGTCTCACCACATGACCCAGCAATCACACTCCTTGGTATTAACTCAAATGAGATGAAGACTTATGTCCACACAAAAACCTACACACCAGAGGTTTGTGGCAGCTTTGTTCATAATTGCCCAAACTTGGAAGAAACCGAGGTGTCCATCAGTAGGTGAGTGGATAAACTGGTGCATCCAGACAACGTACTATTATTCAGTTCTTTAAAAAAAAATGTGCTCTATGTCTAAAACACATGGAGGAAACTTAAGTGCTTATTACTTAGTGAAAGACGCCAATCTGAAAAGGCTACACCTTGTATGATTCCCACTATGACATTTTGGAAAAAGGCAAAGCTATGGTGACAGTGAGGGAGATCCATGGTTGCCAAGGGTTGGGGAGTGGGGGCAGGGATGGACAGGTGGAGCACGCAGGATTTGTAGGGCAGTGAAACTATCCTGTCTGATACTATAATAATGGAGACGTGTCATTATACATTTGTCCACACCCATGGAATGTACAGTACCAAGAGTGACCCCTCATGTAAAGTATGGACTTTGGTTGATGATGACGTGTCAGTGCAGGTCCATCAAATATAACAAATATATCAACCTGGTGGGGGACATGGAAACAAGACCAATGGAGACCAATAGAATGTGTGTGTATATGTGTGTGTGTGTGTATAAAGATTTACTATGAGGAATTGGCTCAGGTGATTATGGAAGTTGACAAATCTCAGGATCTACAGTCTACGAGCTAGAGACCCAGGAGAGAAAACAGCATAAATTCCAGTCCAAAGGGCGGCAGACTTGACACCCAGGGAAAGCCAATCTCCCTTTTGAAAAGCCGGCAGGCAGAAGGCATTCTTTCCTCCGTCGGAGAGGGTCAGTCTTTGTTCTAGTCAAACCTTCGACTGATTGGATGAGGCCCACACATTATGAAGCACAATCTACTTTATTCAGTGCACTGATTAATTGTTAATCTCATCCTAAAACACCCTCACAGAAATACCCAAAATAACGCCTGACCAAATATCTGGACACTCTGTGGCCCAGTCAAGTTGATACATAAAATTAGCCATCACACTGAGGTAAGCTGTGCATTCATAGGGCGGGATGTATATGAAAACTCCGTGTGCCTTCTGCTCAATTTTTCTGTTCGCCTAAAACTGCTCTAAAAAATAAAACCTGTATTTTAAGAAGAGATTAACAACTCAGAGTGAACAGCACACTTTTCAATAGGGTAACCTCTGACTGTAACTTTTATGAAAGGTGAATGAATCTTACAAAAACAAATTTCACGTGAATGGAATTGACTAGCCAGATTTACTGGACAATTGTTCAAAAGTGGCCCCCAGAGCAGGTATTAACTCATACCCCTATCACATGATAATAATCCTAAATTGGTCATTTAAATGCCTGTGATGATTATTCTCTTAGTATTATGGATGAGGATTTCTGGGTAGAGATCAAAGTAGACAGAGAAATCTTCAGTCAAGGCCATTCTGCCACCTGCAGTGTAGACAACAGGAGGGGCCCACGTAGAGGCCTGAACCTCAGCACAGACCCCACTCGCTCCAGGGCATACAAAGGCCCTAAAAGCTTTGGTAACAAGGAGAGAAGGTAGACTTCAGTGACCATTACACCGGGTTTGATGTTAGATCATAGCTCCATAAAGTCAGATGTTGGCAAATTATTGCCCAAGGCTCAAATATGGCCTACCACATGTTTCTGCAAATAAAGTATTATTGAAACGGTGTTATTGCCCATTTGTTTACTTATAGTCTGTGGTGGCTTTTGTGTTACAGCGGCGACTACAACATGGAGCATCTGGACACAAATCCTGTAAGATTTAGTGTCCGGCCCTTTGTAGAAGAATCCTGCCAACTCCTGATAAAGTTCATCAATTGTTACTTTTTTTTTACAGGGCAATCTGCGCTCTTTTAATTTTATGAGAAATAAAGATACAACCTGTTCTAAATGCGGCATGTTATCCTTAATTGGATCCTGGACAGAAAAGAAACATTAATTGAAAACCAAGTGAAATCTGAATGAAGTCTGTGTAGCTGGGTTAAAAGTAATAGAGCCGTGTTGATTTCAGGGTCCTGGTTACATAGGGTGCAAACATCAGGGGGCTTCTCTGTATGAGCCATGTGAATGTTCTGAAATTCTAAAATTACTCCAAGATTAAAAAAAAAGTTTATTTAAAGAAAAATTCTCAGCAAATAGTTATTCGAAATAAGCATTCAGAACGTAAAATTAAGTCTGTCTCCAATCATAGCAGTGCTGTGGCTGTGAGTCATCCATTCATTTATTCAATCAACATTTAAGAACTTGCAACAGCAACCAAAAAACCTCTTTTACATAAGTATAGATAAACATCAGTGTGCTTTTCTAATTTGGGTCATTTTATCCAAGCCGAATATTGGAACCTGTAAAAATGCTTCTGGCCCAGGTAATGGCATCAAAAGTAAAGGAAGAAGGGATGGGAGATTCTTCCAAAGGCAATGTAGACAGGTGAGTGGAGCTCCAGATTTGCAGGTAATTAGGAGGCTGAACAAATAAAGGCTTTCATTTTTAACCTTCCCAGAGGAAGGTTTAAAAAAAAAGTATGAAATGAATACTTCCTTAAAATATTTATGAGAGGAGAAGTTAAAAAACATCTTTGCACATCTGCCGCTTTGGCACGGGCTGTCGGTTTCCTCCCTTGGACGCCTTCCAGACCCCAGCACCAGGAAGGCATTAACCTAGAGTCAATCCAAATTACCGAGGCTCGGGGACCAGCCTGCGTTTGGGCTGCTTTGTGACAGCAGATCAGAGAGAACTTGTTTATACCCCTGACAGAAAGATCATGCTACGTTCAGACGGTGTTCTGGATGACTGGAAGCCAGACACTTCAAAAGGCGAAAGTGGGAATGAAGCCATGCACTGGGGTCTGAGTGAACAGAGGCGCTCCCACCGGCCCTCCAGCCTCAAGCAGCTCAGACAGAGGCCACGGCCCCCGAACTGAGCGGCCAGCAGCGCTTGCCTTTGGAGATCCTGCAAAGTCCTGGGATTTTATTTTTAGTTTATCGATCGCACAAAGGACGATCCTCCTCCCCCTTTCTTGCTAAGGAAATGCCCATGCTCGTGGCTTGAGCATGTCAGGCCGTGGCAGGTGCGCTGCCTCCCTGGTAAGGGGATGGGCGTTCTAAGGGCCCACTGTTAGGAAGAGCCTGCCCCCGCTCCCCGCTTCCCAGAGCCCGAGGTCGTGCGGTAACCTCTGCGGTGACCGCATGCGTCTGCCCCCTCCTTTCTCGGTCTCGGTTTCAGCCCCCCGCAAATTAAGGGGGCAACACTGAACACCCTCAACTCTTGAGATTTCAGGTAGTGTGGGGGGTCCAGTGACCTCTGGCACGCAGGTGCTCCCTCGGACCCCGCTAGGCACTTCTCCTCTGGCAAAGTCTCCTGCTCAGGCACTTGGGCAAGATGCTTCTGATATTCCATGTCCTGAAATGCCGAGGGCGCTCTTCAGAGTCCAGCCTTTGGAAGCCACTGTCCCGATAGTCCCTGCGATTCAGGACATGTGGGGCCTTAGGAAGGACAGGTGAGTTTTGGGGGGCAAATGGTGTTTTTCAAGTTGTATCTCCTGTCATTCAGTGAGAGTCATGGTTTTCTCTCCCAAGCCGGAAATGAAGTGTTTCCTTATCGCCAGAGGCCTGAGACACGGGGTTAGAAGTCCCAACCCCAAAACTAATCCAGTGGCACATGGCATTCCCCAGAATGTGGACTGAGATAGATGTGGGGTTCTTTCAGCACCATCCTCAAATGCCAAGGTCTGGGGTTCCCCTGACCTACGGGATCCCTCAAGTGTGTTCTTTGTCAGCCAACCGACCCATCTGGGAGCAACCAGATGACCTCAGATGACCCGACCTCACGAGCAGCCGGCCATTTGAAAACTCACCTGAGACTGGGTGATGGAGCTACATCTAAAATCAAAATGGTGCATCCCCACATTAGAAAGACAGAACTAACCATTTTTTCTATTAAATTATAGGTATATGCATCTGCTCTTTCTGTGGTTCTTATTCTCTACTCTTCTGGGTCTGGGATGGTAATACTATACGTAATTTACAAAAGTATTTTTCCTGTTTACGAGTATATTTTGCCTTATGCGACCACATTGTGATTTTTTTATGAATATCTTAAGAACCTAATAAAATTAACTATACTGCCATTTCGCGAAATGTGAATATCTCCTCAACTTTTATACCCTGTACTTTTGTATCTTTCTACTTAGCTGCATGCTTACCTGTTCCATATCCAATGGCTTGTGGTTAAACATACCCTTTTGTTTAGAAAGTTTGGGTACTTATATATTCTTGTCTTTGAAAGTTCTATAGTTTAATTCATTAGTTAATAGTCATCCTCGTACAAGAGCCATGCTAATCTTCTCTGTTATCTAATTCTACTGTACATGCTGCTGAAGCAAGCACTAATGAATACATTTTGAAGTTTTATCCTGTGTCTTAAGCTAGTAGTCACAATCTTACAATGATGTCAAAAGTCAGACTCTTCTTCTATCTGAAATTTCCAATCATGTAAACTTATGTTTAAAAAATGTATAAATGTATATGTATAAAATTATAATTTTATACAATTCTACCTAATTTATCTGGTTGAGCAAAAACCAGAAAACTTTGCAAATATTACCTTGAAACTAATGAATGAGAAGAAGGGATGTACTGGATTTGCATTTTACATATTTATGCAGCCGTATTTTTCTGCATGCATCTGAGTAGATACATAACGATGGACTGCCCACAGTCTCCTGAGCATGACGAGTGAAAACCACAGTTCGGTTGCATATCAGAACTGGAGGAGTTCTTCCAGTCTACGGAAGCGGTCGGATGGGTCGGATGAGAGCAATGTTGTAATACAGTCTGTGGTGAGTTCTTTTAAGACACAGCGTTCTGTTCTTGTCATTTCCTGTTCATCTAAATGTAACTTTTGCAATGAGAACGAGGTGGAGGTAGCAATCTAAGAAATAATTCATGAGAGAACACGCAAAGAAGTAAACATAGATGGCTTGCACATGTCGAGGGAGACTAAGAACGTACCTTCTCAAAGATGTGCTGACCAAGTGTGAGAAGGAACCCAGGGCTCTGTGTGCGTGTGTGCGTGTGTGTTTGTGTGCGTGTGTGTGTGAGGGCTCGGTGCGCACATGTGTGTGTTTCTATATTCATAGAAGATGAGCCAGAAAGTGCCCATTGATCTGAACTGAACCGGCTTGAACTTGGACACACTGGAATTGCATGAAAGGCATCCCCAGAGGTTTTGGAGGAAATGAACCCAAACCTCTGTTTCCAGTTAGGGTGGAATTAACTTGGTAATTGAGTCTGGCACAGTGACTCTGGGAGCTAGGAATTTTGATGGATGGTGTTCTGTGAGCTAAGCCAGGCTGGAGTTTCAACATAAATGACAGGCTTGTTTCCAGTTTCAGGGGAAGAGTTAAATTCTAGAGCAAGGATGTCTTCATTTCTCTTTCTCCTCCTCTTCCTCCCGAATTTAGAAATAACTTGCAATAGAAGAGCAAGCAGGGATTTCTCAATGGAGTCTCCCAAAGCAGTGGCAGCTGAGCAGGAGGAGGAGAAAGGGCGGGAAGGAGTCCCAGAGTGACCCTGCAGCAACTCACACGGGGGTCATCTGAGGCTCTGCAGCCCAGCCACGCGGGCCTTCCGAGCAACCTCTTCGAGGGGCCACTGGCGATTCCTCCCCGGCTGCAGGCGGGGAGCCCCTTGATCCCAGGTCCCCCACAGGCCAGAGACAGCTATCATAGGGGGTTGGGGGGGCCTGGGGCCCAGGTTGGGTTCTGCGGCCGGCGCTCTGCGGCACCAGGCTTGGGTGCGGGGACTCCTCACGTGGAGTCCGAGGAGCCGCTCACTGGGCTAAGACTGGGCTCTGCAGCTTGAATCTTGGCTGCTCGCATGTGAAGAGCTACGGAAATGTTGACCCTTCTAGGACTTGCCTCATTTATAAAGGGGGGATAAACAGCAGTTGTTGTAAGGAAAACCTAAGACACTGACTGGAAGAGCTTAAGGCAGAGCCTAGCACTCATGACAAGTGGCTTTATGTGGACCATGCGTTCCATCCAAACTCTCAGAAGGAATCGGGGGCCCGGAAGTCTTGTCAGCCAGGGGGGCTTGCACGTCCCTTGAGGGGTAGATGAGAGCCAGCTGGAGGGCAGAGAAGGCGTGCCCTCTGTGGAACTGTGTGGGAGGTGGCAGGTCACTGGGGGCACTGGCGCAGAAGCCCCTCCAAACGCTAGAGAGAAGAGGGGAGAGGCCTGCTGCCCACTCGCTCTCACTTCCTCTTCGGTATGTTCTCTTAGACTGTGGAGGGACTTCGGCTAATCCAGACAACAGGAACAAGAAGTGGGTCAGGGCGTGAAATTCCCTTTGCCCTAAGGTCCCATCTTGTCTAGTTTTGATCTGATAGCCTTCCCCACATGTCAACTGCAGCAAGGAGGCAGCTCAGGCCCACAACTTGGACCAGGCCCTCGGCAGGTTCGGCTGCCTCTCGTCTCACAAAGCCCTCCCTTCCATGCCACCACCTCACCCTGCCAGAGCCCCCCCCCCAAGCCCTGCGTGGTTCCTACTTGACACCTGTCTTCCTTCCCACTGTCCCATCTTTGTAAGACACGCACGCTGGAGAATTGGCCGTCCATTGCGCGGTGACAAGGAAGATGAACGAGCAAAGTCTTTGTCCTCCAGTGTGTCAGCTGATGGCTGTGGAGTCAAACATCCAGGAGGCAAACCAGCCCCCGGATCACGGCCCGTGCCTGAGGCTGTCCCGCAGTCGGAATCCAAGCGTGCATTTTTACAGGGTCCCGAGTCTCAGATTTGCAAGGCTGAGCTTTGGTGTGTATTTTTAAAAGAACTGAGCCTTATGAAAACATTCATATTAAAGATGAAATTATTTAATTTGACAAAGGAACGAGTCTCGGGAGATTCAGAGCAAAGCAGGCAGAACTTGGCACATTTCCTTTATTCTCTCTTATCTTAAGCCCTGTATCAAAGAATGTAAACAAAAGCTTTTCCTTTTTTATTTATGTGCATCTGTCTAAGTTGGCAATATCAGTATGCTCCACACGTAATGGTATATATTTGCTTACTGGGATAGACTGGATTAAAAACTGTTCATCTTTCTGGATGGGCTCTCGCAAGCTACAGATTCAGAAATCCTAAAAGCAAATCTTACTAGAGCAAACACATTTTTTCTCTAGCAGTGCTGTCATGGAAGGGAATGTGCTCTGGGACCAGTGCCCATACATTTCAGCTATGATTTTAGAACATCATTTTAAAACAAATATATACATACACACACACACATATATATGTGTATATGTATGTATGTGTATATATATATATAAAATCTCTAAGTTCACTCCAGCTCAATTTTGATTTTGGTAATGGCTTGCCAACAGTAGGGAAAAAAATTACAAGTGGATCTGGTATTTGTCCCTGATGAATGCTGGTGCAGATAAACATATCCGCTTTCGATGACTAGCTCGTGAAATTTCTCATCACTGCTTTGAAACGACAATGGCCACCACTCAGCAGCCTCCCTCACTCGTCTCAGGAGATGGAGCTCCAAAGCACACTTAAGTGTTTAACCTTTTCAGGAAAGGGCATATTAGAAAGAGTCAAATTCCAGAGAAAATGGAGAGAATCTAATAAATATACATAGATTTTTTTTCCCTAGGCAATCAGTCCATTTTATATATCAAATATCACCCAGTTTGTTGCAAAATGGACACTGCCGTTTTGAGCCGGCTCGTGGGGGCTGCAGTGGGTATGGCACATCGTGGGGTCAGAAGGGACAGTCGCCCCGGGGTTCATCCCATCCAAGTCCGTAACCAAATTATTTGATACAAATATAGGAAGGATATCCAATGTTTGTGCAACCCATGGTGTATACACACCCATAACCTGCAGCCTTTATAGTGCTGGACCTCCAAGCAGAACTAAAGTATAATCTTTTAAAATGTAACTTAATGCATCTCTCTCTCTCTCTGTATGTGTGTGTATATATATATATATATATATATACACACACAGACCCAAATACAAAGGTCAAGAATTTACCAAAAACTTAAAATAGTGATCTTACAGGGCGCCTGGGTGGCTCAGATGGTTAAGCATCTGCCTTCGGCTCAGGTCATGGTCCCAGGGTCCTGGGATTGAGTCCTGCATCAGGCTCCCTGCTCCTTGGGAGCCTGCTTCTCCCTCTGCCTCTCTCTCTCTCTCTCTCTGTCTCTGTCTCTGATGAATAAATAAATAAAATCTTTAAAAAAATAGTGATCTTACAGAGCTAATTAAAATAGTCATATGTACTCATATGGAATTACTGAAATAAATAAGGGTAGAGTCCACAACTGAATATTGCTGAGTCACCAAAATAGTGTTGGACACAGTATTTGATGATGGAAAAGATGTTCCCCAAATAGTATTAACTGAAAATAAGAAAATCAGGTTGCAAAGTATGATTGTCTTTTTATAAAAGTAAGTCAAGTGCACGGATGAATACTGGAATAATAACCACCAGAACGTGATGATCTCTGGACAGGGGAATTACGGGATGTTTTTTCCTTCCTTTAGGTTATCTGTCTTTCGTGCTTTATCGATACTGACTATAAGCGGCTTTTTTCATAAGAAGAAGGGGTCCGTGTGCCTTCAGGGTAGAGGCTGAGCGGGAGGCAGCTTGCTCCTGGGACAGGAGCTCCCGATTTCCCCAGGAGCCTCTGACGACAGGGGCAACTTGCAGAAGTTAAAGTTAAACACAGGAGACTCTTTCTCTGCCAAGGGGTTTCTCAAGAGGGACGTTCGAGTGTCAGGCAGTCCCCTCCTCCAGGCAGACCCCCACCACATAGCCCTGCTCCTGGAGCCTCGGGTTCCCGGACACGTCCACCCTTTCAACCAGTTTGACTCAGCCCTTCACTCTCCTTCTCTCTTCCTTCTACCTTTCCAGTGTGGAGGCAGAAAGAAGGAGTCATGTAAACAGGGACCAGGGACACAGGAGAGTTATTTGTATAACCAATGAGTTCTTCAGGAAAAATACAAACATAAAAAAAAAAAAAAGCTTAAGTCAATTGTTGAGGAAAAATACTTTGGGCAAAAATGACCACGATAGTAATTGTGGCCTTGCTTTTGCCAGATGCCCTGGTGTGGCCCACGTTCCCAGCGGCAGAAACAGGCATGCTTGCATGCTTTTCATCCTGGTTTCTTTCTTTTTTATAAAAATGTATTTATTTATATTAGAGAAAGAGAGACTGAGTGCATGAGTGGAGGGGGCAAAGGAGAGCCCAGTGTGGGGCTTGATCACAACAACATCAAGAGCCTGAGATCACAACCTGAGCCGAAACCAAGAGTCTGACGCTTGACCAACAATGCTGCCCAGGCGCCCCATGTCCTGGTTTCTGAGTGCCCTTCCCTAA